ATGGGTAGAGCAATCGCTCTCAACCGATTTCTTTCAAGATTTATCGACAAGTACAGTCTATTCTTCAAAGCCTTGAAGAAATGACAAAGAGACAAGTGGGATGAAGAGTGTGAAGTAACTTATGAAGATTTAAAGACGTACCTCACTTCACCTCCCCATACAAAACTTTGTTAGAGCAAGCCATCACGCTGGGTTTTCCAGCTTCAAACAACAAAGCAGAGTACTAGGCATTGCCCGCTAGACTATGCGCAACAAAAGAATTGTTGATCAAGAGGTTAGTCATCTATTCAGATTCCCAGCTGATCACTAATCAAGCCTCAGGGGAGTACATGGCAAAACGCCCAAGAATGATCCAATACCTCGACAAAAGTTCAAGAATTTTTAAAGGCATTTCCAACCTTCACCATCCAACAAGTTGCTTGGGCAGAGAACACTTATGCAGAGTCGTTGGCAAGCCTAGGATCAGCACTGGACACCAAGTTCAAATGCTCAATCCCAGTTGAGCACCTTGATTAGCCAATCATTGAAGAGATAGACCAGATCGATCAGGATCCCAGCTGCAAAGACCCCATCATCGACTACTTAGTGAATGAAAATTTATACATAGCATAGTCCAAGTGAACCCACCTAAAATCTTTACTGAATTATGGACCAGAGCTGCTCGTTCTCCTCCCAAAGGAAAGGTTTGGGGCCAGAAAAATTCAGCAGAAAGCCGCAAGGTACAACATGTAAGACAACAAGCTTGTTCGCATATCATATTCTAATCCTCGCATCACGTGCATAAAGTACCCTCAAACCCTTGAGATGCTCATCAAGATTCACGACGGCGAGTGTGGCAACCACTCTGAGGGCAAGTCACTTGCCCAAAAGGCTCTCAGCATAGGCTACTTCTGGCCTACCATGCACCATGACTCTACTGAGTATGTTAAAATATGTAATCGATGCCAACATTACAAGTCGGTCTTTGGCCTACCAGCCGGGTTATATCATCCACATAACAGCCCATGGCCATTCATGCAATGGGCCATCGACTTAGTGGGTCCCTTGTTGTTGGCTCATGCCAAGAATGAGATGATGATCGTGGTCACCGACTACTTTACTAAATGGATGGAGGCCAAAGCTCTATCCTCTACTAAAGAAGTCAAAATGGATCGATTCATTTAGAGAAACATCATCTGCTGGTTCGGCTGCCCACAGTTGCTGGTCACCGATAAAGGATCACAATTCATCGACAACCAGATTTAGGGTTTAGGGTCGATGAGTTGCTCGAGATATCCGCATGGCAATGGCCAGGCAAAAGCATATAACAAGATCGTTCTAGACTGCCTGAAGAAGAGATTGGTAGGCACCGTGGGAAAATAGGTCGATGAGTTGCTTGGAGTCCTATGGTCTTATCACACTACCAAAAAGAGATCATCTGGCAAAACCCTATTTTCCTTAGCCTACAGAATTGAGGCAATCATTCATCCTCATATCATTGTTCCATCCTTGAGCTTTGAGGTGGGCAGCATTGATCAGAATTCCAAGCAGATGAAGACCAACCTTAACCTGCTCCAGGAAGAACGAGAAAAGCCAATTGTTCAAGTTGCAGCTTATCAGCAACAATTAATGTCTTACTACCAC